CTGCTAGCCGTGGCCACCTACCTTCACTGATGCTAGCCGTGGCCACCTACCTTCACTGATGCTAGCCGTGGCTACCGACCCTCACTGTAGCCCGACCAGGCTGTGCGACGAATTGTCTAGACGATGGTATCCTAACCCTAGCGATACCGTTTCTTGGAGCTACCCTCACTGCTGCTAGCCGTGGCTACCTACCTTCACTGCTGCTAGCCGTGGCTACCTACCTTCACTGCTGCTAGCTTTGGATACCTACCCTCACTGATGCTAGCCGTGGCTACCTACCTTCACTGCTGCTAGCCGTGGCTACCTACCCTCACTGATGCTAGCCGTGGCTACCTACCTTCACTGCTGCTAGCTTTGGCTACCTACCCTCACTGATACTAGTCGTGACGACAAACTCTCACTGCTGCTATTGACAACTTATACAAAATATATATGTACCGTATATTGAAAATTTATAAACAATCTACACATGGTACTGATTACTGATGATCTATGATACTCAAGTTGCATAACCTACAATCCCCACTACCAATCCCAGGAAATCACGTGCTTGTAGGTATACATCATTGAAACAGAAGTTAATACTTCACAAATAATCAATCGAAGAACACGTACTGCATGCACGTATCACCGTTACATTATTATTACACACATTATCAAGAATATATACATTTTCAAATTAATTTTCAAATATTTACAATGCATAAATACGAACAAGCACATTTCTTTAACCAAATCATACATATATGGTTTGCTTTTCAATAAGTCATCTCTATGAAGTGAAACAAGGTTGACAATTAAGCCATCAGACACCACATAATAAAGAAATTTAACTATTTTCCCAACACAAAAGGTGGTTATCATACTTACAGTCGCCTTCATACCAGAACAATAACTGCTTAGTACTTTACAGTAGTGTATATGTTGGGTTAATTGTGATGAGAATGAAATTGAATTCACAAATTTCTCCACCTCCATTGCAACACAAGTAAATCGATCATCTGATGATATATCTACCAAATGCATTAATGGGCTTATATGTCTAGACTTCCTGCTATTGACCTTTTCCAATCGCTTGGATTTTCTGGTTTATTAGTGAAGTTTTCCCAGTTGCTATCGTCTGATCGACTCAAGCAGCGATTCTGCAGTGTCAACCAAGTGTGAGAAGCCAAGGTGTTTGAAATTGGGCATCGTGAATTCTGTCATATCTTCTGTCTGCAAAGACAATCGAGTCATATTTGTAAAACCCGTACAATAGCAACGACAGCAACAACAACAGGTAGTATGTTTACATTACGTATTTAATTATAATTTAGTTCAATAAGTGACTAGAAGTACTGAGAACAGCAATCTGTAGTCTGTGGCAAGCATCCTATAGATAAACATTTTGAGATTTGAACATTACATTACTCATACACTCCAAATAAGATTAGCAGATCATTTGTCAAACACTATCCACTCGTCATTGGGAATTGCAAACATTGTCATAATTGTTTTGTTGTTATCTTTCCTTAAACCCACCACCATGGCCCATGGTAGATTCCTATACCATCTCGTTTGTATAATAAAGGTGTGTTTACCCGCATAGATGAATGTTCAACTGCTACGGCAACATAATGTAAATCATCAAGTCGTGTTTCCTGGAATTGCCATCGGTTCTGTATCATGCCATCCACATACAGCTGAAACATGTGCCAATCATGTAATGAAGTCAACTGTAACATTTGGTATGCTTAGTCAGGCAAACAAAAGGCAGAGTGTAACTATCAATAAGGGCTGTAATTTATTATGAATTGGTAATAAATCTCTAAAGACTATAGTAAAAGGTGAATCTTTTAATTGATCAACGATAATGATAACAACATGATAAATGACAATCAACATGATTGGCAATATGGCAATTAAACAAATGATATGACTGTTGTGCCGATGTTACCTGAGCTATACCGTTATACCTTACATATATTAATAACAGCAGTATAGTTTGTATGACATGTAAAAGTGTGATTGCGTATATACCCTAGTATCCGAGATAACTTGACCTATTGGGACCTCTGGACTGTAGATGTGAAATTCCATCCTCTTCAGTTCAAAGCCGATTCCTATACCAACAGCTTTTATGTAGCTCTCCTTTAGGCACTGTATGAAAAAGGGTAGCAATTATAGAAACAAATGTAACTTATTAAATCTGTTACATTCCTGTTTTCAAGCATTCTCTCTGACCTTTTCAGGTGCATTGTCATCCCTGTCCAATAATTCTGTATTTTATCAGCAAAGAAAATCCATACTCTATCAAAATCAATATCTCATTTGAATTTTTAGGATGGAAATCATCATACCCATAATCGGTAAAATGCACACAACTGTTCCTGCTCATCAGGATTCTTCAAGATTGTCACCCACTCGTGATCAGTGTACTGCCGTCGCATAATCGCATTAGCCTAAAGAAATCCTTTAGACCCTTGATTCCATCATGATCTATTTAACACAACGGTCGAATAATTTTTGATTATTATGCAGTATTATTATTAGGCTTCTCTGCTTAGCATTCAGCAAATAGAGATAGAGTGTGGCGAGTTAACTCGCAGTGCTACCAGTGGACTAACCCTGCTTTCACTGTAGCATTTACAGTGAAAGCAGCTGCGGGGCCTCAGGGTTACGGAAACGGAGATAGGCACCTCCCTATGCGCCTATGTACTACATAGGCGCGGGAAGGATTAAACTATTTTTTTATGCAGTGTCCATACAAAACGAGATAAAAAATGCTAAAAAAACTAACGCGACATAGACCCTGAATATTGTGATGTATTCACATAGATTTATTGTGAAATAAACGCAAGTATAACAAACACAACGGACAATGCAATGGCATCATTACTCTGGTCCTTCGCTATCCTTCCCGCTCTATCCTCAGGGGAGAACAACTAGCGCCATCTAGTATGGGCAATATTAATATATGAGAACAGACCACTATTAAATCACTACCGGTTCATTAGCCTGTTAGGTTAGAGGATGTGACGCGTCATCGGCCGACCAATCGGAGGGCCTGCAGCTCGTGCACTAAAGCTGACGCGACGTTTTGTGATTGCATTATTTAGGCTGGCTATTGTGTGTGTCAATGACATGCACATGGAGATGGGTGGATGGTTACTGGTAATATAGGTGGCATATAAATGCACTATTTTGTCTCTAGAAAAAGTCTTTTTTGGCATTTTTTTTCGCCGAAATTCGGCAC